TTTTTTTTTTTTTTTTGAGACAGAGTCTCACTAAGTCCCCCTCGGTAGAGTGCCATAGTATCATAGCTCACAGCAATCTCAAATTCTTGGGCTTAAGCAATTTTCTTGCCTCAGCCTCCCTAGTAGCTGGGACTACAGGTGCCTGCCACAACACCTGGCTGTTTTTTGTTGCAGTTGTCAACAGTTGTTTAGCTGGCCTGGGCTGGGTTTGAACCTGCCAGCCTCAGTGTATGTGGATGGCACAGTAACCACTGTGCTATGGGTGCCAAGCCACTCTACTTTTAATAGTTTGGAAATGTACCACTGCATTGTGTAATTACGTGAGGTCCCATCAAATGCCCTCCCTCCTTGTAGGCCCCCCACTTCCTCTTCCTTCCTTCTTTCCGGACTATAGTTGTGTTTTATCATTCATATGAATGTGTAGGTGATTATATATTGGTTCCATGATAGTATTGAGTACATCGGATATTTTTTCTTCCATTCTTCAGATCCTTTACTAAGAAAAATATGTTCTGGGCATTTGGATTGGAGCTTCTTTTGTTTTGCTAAGTCAGTACTTCTCATCTAGTTACTTTCTAACAAACTTTCTTTTTCTTTTCTTTTCTTTTTTTGTAATCTTTTGTCCTCTTTTATCTCCTCCACTGTCTTTGCCCCTTTATGATTTTATAGCTTTTAAAAAGCAATAGCTTCAGTGAGCTACTGCTATACATATTCCACATAACCATAAAATTCATCTGAAGTGTATAATTCAGTGGTTTTTAGTACACTTTTTACCTCCCCCCACCCCCCCAAGAAGCTCCATGACCATTAACTGTCATTCAATTTCCTCCCCTATCCTCCACTGGCCCTAGGTAACCATTATTCTCTTTTTTTCTCTCTGGACATAAATGGAATTGCCTACTCTGGACACTTGATATAAATGGTATTATATAAAGGTGGCCTTTTGTGGCTGGCTTCTTTCACTTAATATGTATTTTCAAGGCTCATCCATTTTATAGCATGAATCAGTACTTCATTCCTTTCTGTTTATACATTCATCAGTTGATAAACATTTGTATTGTTTTCATTTCTCATTACATCTATCCTAGAAGGGGTGAAGTGGTATCACATTTAAGTTTTAATTTGCATTTCCCTGATGGCTAAGAATGCTGAACATCTTTTTACATGCATTTATTGGCCACCTGTACATCTTCTTTGGCAAAATGTCTACATATTCTTTGCCCATTTTTCAATTTGGCTGTCTTTTTACTATTGAGTTGTAAGAATTTTTACATTCTAGATGAAGATCTTTATCAGGTACATGATTTGCAAATATATTTGTGAGTTGTCTTTGTATTTTCTTGATGGTGTCTTTGGCATCATAAAACATTAAAGTTTTAAATTTTGATAAAGTTCAGTTAACCTACTGTTTCTTTTGTTGTTTGTGATTTACATGTAATATCCAAGAAACCATTGCTTAACTGAAAGAAAGGTCACAATGATTTATGCCTATGTGTTCTTCTAGAGTTTTATGTTTAGCTTTTACATGTAGGTCTATGATCCATTTTGAGTTAAATATGTATAGGGTATGAATATATTCCTTTGCTGTCATTTCAGTGGGTAATATGCATGCGTTCAGTCCATCATGTTCCTTGTCTGAAATCATCTATAATCAAGTCTTATAAATATTTCTCAAATACTGGCAAAGATGTAACCTTTGTATGCCTTTTATTCACAAAATAACCCATTAGGATAACATTCTCAAGTTTCCCTTCTGTTTCATTAAAACAATTTTCCAAGAATCAATTTTACTTTGGTCTATTGTGGTTTTCACTTATTTGTATTTCCTCCTTATAGTATGTTCTTGCTTCCTCAATATTATACCTTATTGAGAACAGAAAACAACTGTTTCATTTATTTATTTTTCTGTATCGTTATTCCAAGGAAAAGATTATCCTGCTCATTCTTTTTTATTTTTCCTCTTCTCTTATGATACAGAACATATCCTGAAGGTCCAGGTAATTTTCTTCTATGTACTCACTTAAGATTTTGTTAATCTCCTTTGCTGTCATTTATATGCTATGAGGAACAGCTTTTACAACTTGACCCTAACAGCTAGTTTTAGCAAGTTGCCTGGATATTGCACCAGCAACTAGGCTGGCTGAAGGGGCCACTTCCAACCCTGTTCCCATGGCCTGGTACTAATAGCTATTTCAACATGGACAGAGAACTGGAGGACAGAGCAAAGCTAAGTACTGGTCCTTATTTCCATCTACCTATTGTATTGATGTAGAGAGGTGAAGAACACACCATAATCAATTTGGATCCTAGTGGTCTAAATGTTGACTGAAAGGCAAGTCTAATAGAGGAGCAGGTTACCGATCCTCAGTCTGTTCCATGACTCTATGAGTAGACTGACACTGGGCCCAAGGCTAGCTGGAGATGGAGGTAACAGGTACAAAGTCCTCTCCTACTCTAGCCTCTTTTTCTGATGCTGTTGTTGAAAATATGTATAGATAGTTAAAAAACAAAATTAGTCCTGGTCCTTCTACTCTGTCCATAATCATTTTTTTAAATTAAAATTAGGCAAACTCCTTCATAAAACCACTTTGGCTCATAAAATCCAAGTCCTCAGGCAGCGCCTGTGGCTCAGTGAGTAGGGTGCCAGCCCCATACACTAAGGGTGGTGGGTTCGAACCCAGCCCCAGCCAAACTGCAACAACAACAAAATAGCCAGGTGTTGTGGCAGGTACCTGTAGTTCCAGCTGCTCAGGAGGCTGAGGCAAGAGAATTGCCTAAGCCCAAGAGCTGGAGGTTGCTGTGAGCTGTGACGCCACAGAACACAACTGAGGGTGACAAAGTGAGACTCTGTCTCTAAAAAATAAAAATTAAAAAAAAAAAAAATCCAAGTCCTCCAGGAAAAATTTTTGTAAAGGCTCTCAAGTCTTTATAATTTGAAAATAAACCTTCATTACACAGAATCTTCTTTCTTTTATAAGAATCCCATAAACCCCTAACTTTGGGTGGTAGCAATATGATAAACTTCAAGTTTATTTTTCCAAATTACCATTATTCAAGCTGCTATATACAAGCAGCATATAAGGGTACAATTTATTTAAGATATCCACTAAAGTTAATGATAGCAGTTATATGGATTGGGAAGAGGGGAAATTGAAGAGTTATTGCTTAATCATTATAGAGTTTCTATTTGGGGTAATAACAACATTTTAGAAATAGATAGTAATGATAACTATATAGTATTACAAAAGCTATGAATGCCACTGAACTGTATACTTAAAAAGAGTTGAAATGGTAAATTTTCAATGTTCTGTATGTCTTATCACAAAAAATACCAAAGAAGTAATAATAAATCATCCTTGGCTGAACACTTAACATTTTACTTCAAAATTTCAATAGATTTTAGTGATGGTCATTTGATAAGCAATAATAAGCAAAACATACTGAAAACAAGTGTTTCTTTCAGTTTCTAACTTTGCAATGGTATGATTTACTTCTTAGAGAGAAAAATCCTAGTCTATATGGCTTACAGCCAGAATCAAATGGTATATTAAATACAATACCTGACTAGATCTCAACTTCTTATTTTCCAGGTGGCTCTTCTCCTGTAACAGGGCCTCCTTCTTAGAAACTATGGCCTCTCGTTTCTTTAAGTCTTCTTCCAGCTCCTCTAATTCTTGGCGTTGGTTCAGAACTTTCTCTACCTCTTCATCTAACCATTTCTTTTGCTCATCCAATTTCTACATTAAAATTTCAAAGAAATGTTATTTGTTTTTCCTTCTGCCATAAAAATTCTCCTGTAATAATGTAATTTCAGATTGGCTGAAACCTCTTAAATGAACATTTAAAAACTGTCACTAAGAGTAACTCATGTTCCTATCTGAAACTCTAAAGAAATGGTCCCAGTCAAGTTGTTGCTGGGTTGTTTTCATATTTACTCCCCAAATATGTTAAGAGTCTGGGACTTTTCAGCACGACAAAGTAAGGGATGACAATTTTCTATGCCTATATAAGGAGTATCTTTTCCTACATTGTAGAGGTGCATACTTCTGTCATTACTCTGGTGGTTGCTCTTTTAGTCTGTCTCCCCAGCTTGAGCTCCTTGATTGACTGCAGGGAATGTAATTTCTGCCTCTTTATCCATAATGCCTCGTACAGTCCCTGGCCCACAGTTAGCATTCAGTAAAATATTAAATAAAGAGTGAATGAATGCCTGATTCAATCAATCAATGAAATGAATAAATGAATACACATTGATTCATTATGAAGACACAGATGACGAAGCATAGAAGGAAACCCAATCTGCATTGTAGCTTGTCAAAATAATTATCTTAACAAATAAACTGAGCTGGAAAGATCTCTACAACAAACATCTTAGAATTCTCTTGAATTAAGGATACCCAGGAACACATATACACATCAATATTAATGGACTAGGACGATCCAAGAAGAACTCTACTAATGAAACGATGCCACCAAAGCAACAAATAAATTTATAATATCAATACTATTTTCCAGTCCTTCATGTACCTTATACAAAAGGTTCCTAGTAATCAGTATTAAGAGGCCAAGGCAAAGAAGACGCAGAGCTATTTAGTCTTCCATGTAGACTAGACAGTATGATCCTATAAGCACTATCAAATACCATAGCCTAAAATAGTAGCTCTACAATTATTAGTAACAAAAAAGCAACTATAAACATGTGTTATATTCTTAGAAACACCAAGGAGACCTATGAAGTCTAGCAGGTACCAAATACAAATTCTACAAACATTCCCCAACTGTAAGTTGGGTTTGAATTAGAAATCCTTTTTAAGCCTTAATGCAAAAAAGAGAAAAATCAGAAAAATTGTGATTTTTCATGACACTTCTGGGTGAAAAACGTGTGAGTGGGATAATACATCCATGCCCGAAATGTCGCTGTTAAAATTTAACATAAAAAATTTGGGGCTTGGCTCGGCACCTGTGGCTCAAGTAGCTAAGGCACCAGCCACATTCACCTAAGGTGGTGGGTTCGAATCCAGCCCAGGCCTGCCAAACAACAATGACAGCTGCAACCAAAAAATAGCCAGGCGTTGCAGCGGGCACCTGTGGTCCCAGCTACTTGGGAGGCGGAGGCAGGAGACTCGCTTGAGCCCAGGAGTTGGAGGTTGCTCTGAGCTGTGATGCCACAGCACTCTACCCAGGGGGACAGCTTAAGGGTCTGTCTCAAAAAAAAAAAAATTGGAGGCTCAGCACCTGTAGCTCAAGCAACTAAGGTGCCAGCCCCATACACCAGAGCTGGCAGGGTTGAATCCAGTCCAGGCCTGCCAAACAACAATGACACGACCAAAAAATAGCCAGGCATTGTGGTAGGTGCCTGTAGTCTCAGCTACTTGGGAAGCTGAGACAAGAAAATCGCTTAAGCTCAGGAGTTGGAAGTTGCTGTGAGCTGTGACACCATGGCACTCTACTTAGGGCGACAGCTTGAGGGTCTGTCTCAAAAAAAAAAAAAAATTGGGCTTGGTGGCCCACTAAACAACAATGACAACAATAACAAAAAAATAGCTGGGCATTGTGGTGGCACCTGTAGTCTCAGCTACTGGGAGACTGAGGCAAGAGAATCGTTTAAGCCCAAGAGTTTGAGGTTGCTATGAGCTGTGATGCCACGGCATTCTACCAAGGGTGACATAGTAAGACTCTGTCTCAAAAAAAGTAAAGAAAAAAATATTTTGGTGGCTAGCCATAGTGGCTCATGCCTATAATCGCAGCTCTTTTGGAGACTGGGGAGGAAGCTTGAGGCCAGGAGTTTGAGACCAGCCTTGACAACACAGCAAGACTCTTTCTCTCCCCCGCAAAAAACAGCCAAGTGTGGTGGCATGTGCTTATTGTCGTAACTACTTGGGAGGCTGAGGTAGGAGGATCACTTGAGTCCAGAAGCTCAAAGATACAGTGGGCTATGTTCATGCCATTGCATTCCAGCCTGGGCAGCAGAGTGAGACTCTATCTCTACAAAATATTAAAAAGTTAGCCAGGTGTGGTGGCATGCACTTGAGTCTTTTAACTACTTGGGAGGCTGAGGCAAGAGGATCACTTGAGCCCAGAAGTTGGAGGCTGCGGTGAGCTATGATTACACCACTGCATTTCACCCTAGGCAACAAAGTGAGACCATGTCTCAAAAAAAAAAAAGAAAGAAAGAAAAATTAGGAAGAGAGAATAAATTTTTCAAAATTAGGGTGGATGTACTTGTATAATTGTAATTTCAAGTACAGTATTTTTCTTATATAAAATTTAAAATTTCATACCTGTGAAACAAAGAAAATAGAAAAAAATTAAATTTCAATTTCTTTGAACTTTGAAATTAGTTTATGTATTAGAATTTTTTTTTTTTTTTGAGACAGAGCCTCAAGCTATCCCCCTGGGTAGAGTGCCATAGTATCACCTCACAGCAACCTCCAACTCCTGGGCTCAAACGAGTCTCCTGCCTCAGCCTCCCAAGTAGCTGGGACTACAGGC